TTTGGCCTGGGTTTCCTGAGACCGCCTCTCTCTTTATCTCTTTCTTTCTTTCTTTCTATATATGGATAGATAGATAGATAGATAGATAGATAGATAGATAGATAGATAGGATTTTTTTTTTCCTTATATTGTCCCTAACTGAGCAAACCCAAAAGGGGATGGCCCCTCTTTCCCTGGCGATGCGCGCACTGAACACGACAGCTCCGAAACTTAATGCTCCTAAATCCCTGTCCCAAAGGTGCGGCGGGTCCCGGCCCCGACAGCCCCTGGCCCCGGATCCTCGTGACAGCCTCAGGTTCTGCCTGGACGCACGGAGCGACGACATTTGGCACAGGACAAGTTTAATTTTTAAGAGTGCAAGCTATCCATCCGCTGAGCCCCTCCATAGGGAAGGGGTGGGGAGTCTCACTGCCATTTCGCTACTCTCTCTCCCTTTCGTGCCTCTGGGCAGCCTCCCGCTCTCGGCCGAGGTGCCGGCGCCTCCGTGCGATCCCCCTGACGGGACGGTGGGCAGGGTGCCGTGGGTCCGTCCTGCCCGTGTGGGTCCCCACGGGGCTGTGCCTCGGGGCGCTCCGTCCCGCTGCGGGCGGACTCCACCTCCGATGGCGCACGTTCGGGCAGGGCACCGTGCCACAGGCTCCCCACGAGCAGCAGAGCAGCCCCACGGGCGTGGAAAGCCACCCGCGACGGCTCGGGAGGAGGGCAGGCTTTGCTGGCGTGTTTGGGGAGCCTAGCAGCTCTTCCCGGGGAAAGCGGCAATCGCGCTCCCTTTCCAATGGCTCCCCAGAAGAATGTTTTACACCTTATAAAATATTGCTCCCCGCTCCCTAACTATCAATAAGACGTGCATTAAGACGATTGTTTGTAAATGGTGTTCATGATCATTAGCATACATTTACATAATGCAGCTCACAGCACAGCGTTTTACGGTTAAACACCTCCTAAAGCCGATAGCCCGAGCTCAGTTTATAGCGGAAGCTTTACGAAATAAATGTGAAGGCTTCCAGGCTTTCACCCCGCCTCTGCAGCCTCCCCCGGTGTCCCTTGGCAGGTTTGCCGGCGAGCGGAGCCCTGCGGGAGGGCTGTGCAGCCGGCTCCGCCGCGGGAGCGGGGCGCGTTCCGACCCCCGACGGGGCTCTGGGGTTGTGGGGGGCTGCGGGGGCAGCACAGCACGCCTCCCCTCGGCTGCAGCCCGGGGACAGCGGCAGCCCGGGCCTGAGCTGGTGTCGGTGAGTTAATGGGCTTTAAATTCTTCATGGCTCTTCTGGAGCTGGCAGCGTCCAAAATTGTCCCTGCGCGAGCAGCCACCTTCTCTGCCCGGCGTTTGCAGCCAGTCCTAAAAGTGAGCGAATTTCCACGTGAGTCTCCATCAACCCCTCCCTCCCCACAGTCACAGGTCAGCTGCCTATTAGCCAGCTATAAAATAATTCCATTTTTTTATGGCCTCTCATAAAAAGAAATTGATCGGGGTATATATTTGAATTAAGACATATTAAATCGATGACAGATACACATCACCTGCGTTTAACAGGAGAGGGACAGGGAGGCGTGCAGAAGGTTCCACGGAGCTGTGATACTTGTTCACCTCCACAGCATCTCCCATCAAACCATTCCATCTCTGGACCTTGCTCCAGCAAGGCACCCAGAATTTGGGGGGGAAGAAGGGCACTATTTGGCTGGACGTGTAGAAAATACATGTGTATAAATACCCGTACAGACGTATGGCTACTTTGCGTGAAGTTTTTACTGTGCAATAAAACCATCGAGCAGCCACTTTTAAAACCCGGGGATCATTTATTCCCATTCCTTGCCTTGCAGCATCACTGAAACCCCCACGGCGGCCACACGAGCAGGGAGCACTGGCTCGTCTCCCGTGGGGGAGAGAAGGGAGGGAACCGGCGGGTCTCTCTCCCCCTTGAGCTCCCCCTAGAGCCTCTCGCCCCCCTTTTGGCAGCCGTGGGACAAATCCTGCGAGTTTTCCCCCCGCGAGAGGCAGAGGAGGGGGAGCCTGGAGCCTGGCCCAGGAAATGCCGGACCAGCACGGGGCTTCCTTTGAACGTGGCTTGGCACGGGGAAGCGGCCAAGACGCACAGATGTGGTTTCGTCAAGGGGATTCGGTGGCCGGGGAGAGCCGGAGGTGCGTGTGGGTCCGCTGGCGTCCCCTGCCCCGTTTCCTCTCCCGGAGAGGCGGAGGAGAGTCCCTGGCTGCCCCGCAGGCAGGGAAGGGCAGCCAGCTTGGCTGCACTTTCCAGGAGCCCGGGAGCTCAAGGCATTCCCAGGGGCACCAACAGCCTAAAGAGAGCTGATGACATATCAGTAAAAGCTACTTCTCCTCCCTCAGAAAAGTCACGACAATGCTCCTTTCCCCTTTTGGCTCGCAGGGAAATCCCGGCCTTGCCTAATCAATCCCCTCAAAGGGCAGCAGCATCCTTTGTACCGAAGGGCCAGTTTCGGCGCTCCACAAAGAGCTTCGCTTTCGAGGACCGGCACACCCCGCACGCCAGGGGCGGTCCCATCGCTGTCCCCGCCCGTCCTCTACCTCTGCCCCCTTGCAAGAGAGCTCCCACTTTTCCTGCCTTTTCTGGGGCAGCAGCTCGGGGCCGACACACGCCAGCCGGAGACTCGCCCGTTTCCCACCCTACCCTTCGGACATCCGAAGGAGTCGAGGAGCATTTATGCTCGGGGCCAGTAGCGCTGCGGGGGTTTCATCTCTATTTCGCCGCTGCTGAATGAGGGCCGGGGGGGATGCAGCTGCCTGGACTCCGGCTGTGGGACCGCCGAGGGGCGTGGGGCGGCTCTCCCCGGGATGCCCCGGGAAGCCGCTGCGGGAGGAGGGAGCCCCAAAGCGGCAGCGAGCGCAGGCTCCCAAAACTTGGCTCTAACATGTGCCACTTGCCCCCCCCCCCCTCCCCTCCCCGCTCACTCGTTTATTTTCTAAAGGAAAGGAATCCCAACCCCCGCCGTCTTCTTTTCAGGGAAACTTTGGCCGCCTTCTCCCAGCGGTGCCTTGGGCATGAGCACGCACAGGCTCGGCCTCGCGTGGGCGTGGGGTTGCGCACATTGTTGCAGGAGGGAGCGCTTTCCCGCCTGATCCATGAATGAACGCGGCCCTCCAAAAAAAAAAAAAAAGATAAGGAAGCTGAGCACAGAGCCGGACAGCAGCCGCGCCGCCAGGCGAGGAGAGAAACCCCACGGCCCCGCAAACGTAAACACGGCGGAGCACCTGAGCGGGGCGCCCCGTCCGGCGCCCGGGGAGCGGAGGCGGCTGCTGCTGCCCGGTGCTGCCGGCGGGGGGCGGCGGGGGAGGCGCCGGGCGCGCCCGTCGGGCCCCGCGAAGTTTTGCGAGTGCAACTTCGGGGGGCGGCGCGGGGGGGCCCGGGGGGGCGGCGGGGGCGGATCCCCGCTGCGCCGGCGGCCTGAAAGGGAGCCAATCGCGGGGCCCCGGCCGCTGCCAATCATCGCCGTCCGTCCAATCCCTCCGGCGCGGTGTCCGAGCCGTATTCCCCAGCGCGCCGCCGAAGTGTGGTGAGGGCTCTGCCAATCGCGGGCGGGCAGAGCGGGGCCAGGGATGCGCGGGGCTCGGAGCGCAGACAAAAGAAGTTAAAGAGCCGCTTAATATATACATGTTTTTGAAGGCGGGTAAAGGGAAAAAAATAACAACAGCGAGCGTAGATGGGCTTGGCTGTGTCGTTATGGAGCCCCCTTTGAGCAAGAGGAACCCGACACTGAGATTAGCGGATTTGGCAGCGGCGCAGCCCCATCCTCACCAGAACATGACAGGCTTCCCGGGGCTGGGGAACCACCACGTCCACCCCCACCACGCGGCCCACCTCCACCCCGGGGACGCGGGCGGCGACCCCGGCGGCGCCCTCACGCCGCTCGGACCCGAGCACATGGCGCAGCCCGCCGCCCTCAAGCTCACGCCCGAGGCGCTCACCGCCGCCGCCTTCGCCGCGCCCGCCGCCACCACCGCCGCCGCCGCAGCCGCCACCGCCGCCGCCGCCACCACCGCCGCCGCCTACGCGCCGCCCGCCGCCGCCCTCCCGGGATACCCGTCGGGGGAGGCGGCGGGCCGGGACTTTCTCCTGCGGCGGGAGCTGCCCGCCGCCGCCGCCGCCGCCGTGCACGGGGCGCTGGGCGAGCAGCACCCTCCCGCCGGCTCCCCCCACCTTCCGCACCCGCCGCCGCACGGCGTCTTCATCTCGGCCGCCGGCACCTACGGCGCGACCGACGGGGCGCACGCCGCCTTCCCGCCGCCGCCGCCCGGCGAGCAGGGCGCGCCCGCCGGCCGCCACCCGCCGCTCAACGGGCAGATGCGTCTGGGGCTGGCGGCCGCCGCCGCCGGGGAGCTCTACGGGCGCGCCGAGGCGCACTACGGGGCCGCCGCCGCCTCCTCCTCCTCCTCCTCCTCGGCGCTGCAAGGCTACGGCTCCGTCAACCTCAACCTGGCGGCGGCCGGGCACGGGCACCCGCACCACCCCCATCCCCACCACCACCACCATCACCACCACCACCACCATGGCCACGTCGGGGCCGCGGCGGCGGCGGCGGCCGGGGCCTTCCTGCGATACATGCGACAGCCCATCAAGCAAGAGCTGATCTGCAAATGGATCGACCGGGAGCCGCCTCCTCCACCTCCGCCGCCGCCACCGGGCGCTAGGAAGCCTTGCTCCAAAACTTTCAGCACGATGCAGGAGCTGGTGAGCCATGTCACCGTGGAGCACGTCGGTGGGCCCGAGCAGAGCAGCCACGTGTGCTACTGGGAGGAGTGTCCCCGTGAAGGCAAGCCCTTCAAAGCGAAATACAAACTCATCAACCACATCCGAGTACACACGGGAGAGAAGCCCTTCCCTTGCCCCTTCCCCGGCTGCGGGAAGGTCTTCGCTCGCTCTGAAAACCTCAAGATCCACAAGCGGACTCATACAGGTGGGTTGTTCTTCACACCCCCACCCCCCCTCCCCGCAAGGGTTTCCTTCCTTTATTTTTTTTTCTCCCCTTTCCTCCTCTTTTCCTCCTCTCCTACGCACCGCCGAACATGTGACTTTTTCATGAATAAGTAATTCGGCAGCACACGGGCCACGCACACAGAGCTACGTACACGCACCCGGCCCCTCTGCCCTGCACACACGTGTCGCGTCCCCCCCTCCAGCCCCCCCTTCACCTTGGGCAGCTCCCTCCCCACCCCCACCCCCTCCGCTGCCCACCTCCCGCATCCCGGCAGCACCGGATAAATACACCGATTAATAAATAACGCGGGGCCGGGCGAAGATGAGCAGCAGCCCCTGCGGAAGAGCGAGGAGAGGATGAGCGCTCGCCCTTCCCTGCTCCCGCCGCCCTTGTCCGGGGCGCTCCGGGGGGCACCCCGGGATGGGAGGCGCTGCGCTTTGCCCCGTCCCCCCGGCACGCCGGAGGACGACGGTTCTGCCCTTCCCCCGCTTCTGTCGGCGGGGACGGAGCCGGGCGGGTGCCGCTTGGCCCGGCGGAGATGGGGCCGCGGGGGCTCTTGGGGGCGCAGTTCCCCTGCGCTGCGGGCGGCGGTGCCGGTGCTCGGGGCTGCCGGTGCTACCGGCGCTGCCGGACCGCCCTGTGACCGGCGCTCTGGGGCTGCCCCGCTCCGGGACTGTCCCTGCTAGCGGGACCAGCGATGCTGCCGGGTGTGCGCTCCGCCCTGGGCCAGGGATGTTGCGGAACCGCGGGGGATGCTGAGGGCGCTGCGCTGCCGGGGCTGCCCGTGCCGCCGGGCTACCGGAGCGCCGCCGGTGCCGCGGCTCCGGGCGCTGCCTGGGCTGCTGCCTCCGGCGGCAGTGCCCGCGGAACCGGGAGCAGGGAGCGAGGCGGGGGAAGGCTCTCACCGGAGGACGCTGCCCTCCCTTTGTGGATCTGAGAAGCAAACTTCAAAGTCGCCCCGACTGCTCGGTGGGGTACGGGAGGAGGGAGCCGCACCCCCGGAGAATGCCTCGGGGAACAGGCGGGGGCCCCTGGAAGGGCTTGGGGTGTCTTTGAGCCTTTTAGTGTTTTATATTTTTCTGAGTTTCGTTTTGGTGGTTTTTTTCTTTTTTTTTGTTTGGGTTGGGTTTTTTCCTCCACTTTCTCCTCATTCCTCGCCACTCCCGAAATACGCATTTCCATCTGAGTGTAAAATACTGCCGAAAACGAACGAAGCCGGGATTTATAGTGGCAGACAAATATTATTCCTTGGAGGATACTTAAGGAAGTGGAGTTGCCGTAATTGCTTTCTTGATTTATTGTTTGCTGCTCGGGAAGAGAAAAGCGGCGACCGTACAACGTGTTGTTCCGATGTAAAACCAAATGGCCCATGGCTGAAAGGATTATAGATTTTTATCTCCAGAATTTGTCAGGCACGAGCCCGTGTGTAGCAGCGGAGCCCTGAGGGTGCCTGGCGCTCTACACCCCGAGCCGGGCATGGTGTGTGGGGGGAGATTCCTCCGGGGCAGAGGAGGGGGCAAGGTCTGACACTTTTTGTTGTTGTTGTTGTGTTAACGACACCGCGGAATGAGTTAGCTGGAGGCCCGCGGTTTTGTCATCTGTTCGAAAAACTAAAGTTCACAGCGGACTTTTCTGGGCTCCTCAACTCCTTACCCATCTCAGCTCCAAGGGGCAGGCGGGAGGGAGGTGGGAAGAACTCCGGGAGAGGCTTGCGTGGAGGCAGAGAGGTTCAGCCGGGAAAAAGAGCCCCCCACCAAAACCCGAATTCGTATCAGGCACAGTTCGCAGCTCTTAGATGAGGTCTAGCATTGCCCCGAGGCAATGCGTGGGACGTGGCTCCTTGCAAAGAAAATTTGGAGAAGTTTTCAGCTACCCGCAGTCCCCGGGAGGATGTCTGTGCGTGAGCCCACGAAGAAAGGCTCTATCCACGCAGATAGATCCACTCTATCGTTGCACCAAAGCAGCCCTCGGGGAGGGGGGCAATATCCCACCCCTAATGACAGCTCTGCCCATGGGAGGGCAAAGGCGACAGGAGCCTTTCCCTACATATTTCTCCCCACGCCTTCGAGTGGACAAGGGATCCTAAACTTTCTGCCCCTTCCTATCAGATTAATTACTGTCATTTTGCCACTTCGGCTTTGACTTATTCATGTGCAGCCTGGGAGCAGGAGAGATTTACAAACTATTCGTATATTATGGGCGTTTGGCGCCCGGGGAAAAAATAATAGCACTATAATCGCATCATTAGGCGGTTTTGCATCTTTCTGGTAATTCTTGAGGAAGAAGAGTATTTCAGTAATTCAGGAAGTGGTTGTTGTTTGGGACCTTTTTCTCCCTTTTTTTTTTTTTTTACTTTTATTTTCTTTTTCCTCAGAAGCATCCTCCGGGGGGCTGCACAGCAAGCTCTGCAGCTGCTGCCCTGTTCTGGGGACAAATCACGATTCCCAAACCCGGTGCATTCCAGGGGGAATCGGGACCTAGTCCCTTCTGCAATTTTGCTTTCTCCTTGCCAAGGACGATGCTCAGGATGGTCAGGCTTCCTTCCAGCGATTCCTAGACCTTCCAAAAAAGTGATCCCGAGCCCCATCTGTGCCTCTCCCCTCCACCCGCTCTGCTGGTGCCAGGAGGAGTGAGGGGACGGCGCCCTGCATCTCGCCCCCTTCCGTGGGTTGAAACCACCTACAAATGGTTAAACTCTGACGTGGTGCCCTCGTCAGCACAACGGGGACACACCGGGACCTTCACCAGTCCTGGGCTTATGGGGAATTTGGTCGTGGAGATCTGGAGTCTAGGGAGGGTGCCCACGCGTGAATCCGGGTGGGAAGGCACTTCCCTAAAACCCTGAGGGAGTGGACACGGTTTGGTCCAGCTGGTTGGAGCATTTCTCAGGGGGCTTCGGGCTCTGCCGGTCATGGCCAGCAGCAGGATGTGTGAGCCTTCAGCCTTGGGGTAACACAGTTAGAAACTGCCCAAAACCTCTGGGAGATTTGCTTTGTTTTCCCGGGAAAATTAATAGTAATTAATGAACAAACGAAGTGACTGGAAGCTTGTCTCAGGGGTGTGCGAGGTTTTCATGCACTTAAAACCCATGAGGCACAATTTAATTATTTTTCTCCTTTTTTTTTTTTTTTTTTTTTTTTTTTTTTTTTTAAGATAAACCTTGCACTTTCCAGTGCTACCACATTGGTGGTAGGTGAGCCGATTTTAATTGAACAAATTGATGCATAAATAAGCTGTGGAGGTGTATGTTTCTATAGTAACAGCCAAGAAATCGCTTCTAAAAATAAAAATAGTTTTCTTAGTCCCATTATTATTTTAATAAATAATAAACGCGATACAATCTTGCAAAGGGGAGGAGTAGTAAAAATCGCTTGCGAGTAAGGAGAAAATGTCCACCGAGAGAGCTGCTGGGTTGTTATTTCTGAGCCCTCAGAGCAAATCCCATCTGAAAATACACATCAGCCACGTCTAAAGGGACTCAAGAGTCTCGATAGTAATGACAAAGATTATCAGTGCAGGTCTGTCTGTGCTGGACTCCCGTGTAGCACGGCAGAGTGAGAAAAACTCGCTGCGAGAAGCTTCCGTACAGGGATCTGCCACTTTTTTCTTTTTCCTCTGGTGTCTCAGCAAGAGGCATTTACCCAGCCCCATTCGGGATCTGCGAGGAAGGGTCTGCTCGGAGCCGTGGAGAAGGACACGGCCATAAGCAGCAGAACATCTGTGTTCCAGGGTGTGCTGCAGGAGACGAGCGTGTGTGGGAGAGCTACGCCAGGCTAACCGCCCCGGGCTGATTTTCACAACCTCTTTAACTGTTAGGCAATGTGTAAAAACTCTTCAAAGTACATCATCCGCACACGTTTAGACCCAAATTTGCCCAGGGTGAGCAGCTACGCTGCCCTCATCTCCGATGTCTGGGTTGGTGCCCCCAACTTGCAGGTTCCCAGTCCGGGCTGCGGGTGCTCCCTCCTTTGTGTCGGGATGCTTAAACAGGTGTTACTTTTATTTTACCCAAACTAATTATTCCTCCAGCGCAGTGCCCATTGGGAAAGGATTACGCAGGAGATGTGCCAGGCGAGCCAGGCTGCCGGCGAACGCCAGCCCTCGCAGGCAAAGGCATTGAGAGGTTTTGTTTGGGCTCGGTCATTAGAGCGGTAATGAAGGATTCTCGTGTGCGAGGGGAGCGCCGCCGAGGGCAAACAAGGCCGGGGGGGCCCTGCCGCAGCCAGCCCGGGACTCGGGGCCCGAGGGCTGCCAGCGACGTGTGACAGGCAGCAAAACACGGGGGAAAAGTCGGAAACCTCGGGCGTGTCAGGACTGTCGCGAAGGGGGAGGAAAGAAGGGCGAGGGGAGGAAAAGGAGGGAAGGGGGATGTTTGCCCTCGCCGCTCGCCCCGCAGGCCGCGCTGCGGAGGGGCTGCGGGCAGGGCCGGTGACGGTGCCGTGTGTCCCCTGTGTCCCCGCAGGGGAGAAGCCCTTCAAGTGCGAGTTCGACGGCTGCGAGAGGAAGTTCGCCAACAGCAGCGACCGCAAGAAGCATTCCCACGTGCACACCTCGGACAAGCCCTACTACTGCAAGATCCGCGGCTGCGACAAGTCCTACACGCACCCCAGCTCCCTGCGGAAGCACATGAAGATCCACTGCAAGTCGCCGCCGCCCTCCCCGCCGCCGGGCTCGCAGGGCTACGCGGCGGCGGGGCCCCCCGACGGCCCGCTGCCCCCCGAGGCAGAGCCGGCCGCCGAGCCGCCCCGGGGGCGCCGCGCCGCGCTCTCGCCGCCGGTCACCGACCTCAGCGAGTGGTACGTCTGCCAGGCCGGGGGCGCGCCCCGCCGGGCCCGCAGCCCCTCCAGCCGCGGCACCTCCCCGGCATCCGAGGAGGATGAGCCCCACAGGACCTCGGGGGGCAGAACTGCTCCCTAGGGCCGTGCCGAGCCGTGCCAAGCTGCCGGTGGCCCCGGCCCCACCGCACTGGCCCGGGCCGCAGAGGCAGCCACCTGGCACGGGGCGCTGCCGTGGAAGTGCCATCAGGTTTGACTCGCGCTATTTATTCCATGTATGAAACCCTATGGTGTTTGTATGGTAACTAATTTAATTAAAGAGACTCGGACCTTTTTTTTTTTTTTTTTTTTGGTAAATAAAAGCATTAATAACGCCAGGCTGGGTCGTCCCAGCCACCCGAGCCGCACGATTTTGCAGGGGGACGGTGTCAATGGAGATGCCCATCTTCCACTCTGCCCATTGCCCATTGCTCTTAACAAGATTAAGCTGGCGAAGGCTGCAAACAAGCAGAGCCTAGCCAATCTCTGGAATGGCTCTTAAGTACCTTAGCTGCCACCCCAGCACCTCCTCTTTGGCTTGGGTAAAGCCCCAGGTCAGCAGCAGCCTCCTGACTGTAAAGCAGCACCTGCTAAAGCTCCAGCTAGTCAAGGACAGGTTGCACATCCCTTAAAATAAAATTAAATAAATGCATTTCCCCGCCCCTCTTGCAGTTCAGCTCCTTTGTAGCTGAGGGTTTCTCTCCCGAGTCGGGGGGTCCCACCTGCACCCGGCATTTTCTCTGCAGCCTTTCTTTCACCCTTAGCCATAACATTGTGCAAACGATTTACGAAAGGAAAGACAAAAGATGCAGGACTCCTTTTTCACTCCTCCACGGTTTGTACTTGTATGGCTCCTAGAACGTAGCCAGAGAATAAAAGAAACACGCTGCTATTTGACAACTGTGATACTGTGATACATTTTTGATTTTTTCCCCCTAAAAACAGCACACGGAAACTCTGCGAATTTTGCTTTTCTTGGGGTTGGTGTTATTATTACTCTGATTATTATTGCTTTTTTTAAAAGTTCGTCTCTCAGATGAAGATTTTGCCTCATGCTCCCTCCAGCCCTCTGGGGCTTGGGAGGGGGAGCAGCCCCTCGGGCCTGACGAGTCCCGGAGTAGGGGGCAGGCACAGAGGGATTATCTTTTTATTATTATTTTTATGTATATTATTTCATCTCTCCAACCGAGCTGATGCCTGCGTGCTTTTCAGCATCCCCCTGAAGTGGCCCGGCAGAGTCACCTGGCAGGCGGGGACCAGAGCTGCTGGGAGGGAAGCCCGGGGTGGGGACACGGGCTGGGCTCGGGGTGCCAGCCTGCCCAAAGCTGCCAAGAGCCAGCCCTGCGGCCGGGGGCTGCGGGAACACCCCAGCCCAGAGCCCTGGAGCCGGGAGCGGGGCGCAAATGAAGTAAAGAGCACTAATTCCTCCTCAGAGACCCTGAGAGAAGAAGCGGCCGCCTCCCTCCCCTCCCCCAGGGCTTGTGGAAATGTGTTTTGTGTGCCGTGAATGGTGGATGTCGTCTTGTCATTGTTAATAACGTGTATGTGAACGCGATTATTTTGTACAGTCAAATTAATTTATTTTCTGACATCACCCTTTTTTTTCCTTTTTTAAATTTTTTTTTGACTCCCCTGTAACAGTACAGAGCACACCAAAGAATTATCTTATTAATTTTGGTGATAGATTGTTGTTTATGCTGATGTGGTTTGTACAAAAAAGAAATCATTATATTTTTCAGCTTACTTGAATGAACGATGTAATGTGAAACAGACTCTTCCTGCATGTCCTCCGTGCGGTGTGTTGGTGCTGATAATATATAAATTTATGTATAGTTCATAGAGATATTATATTATTAGTACAGTGCATGGTGCTGTCACTCTGGAAGCCTTTAAACGTTGTCTTCATATTGTTGTGTTGGATCTAAAGAAGCAGGCGTTACTTTGAAAACAAGCCGAAAACTTGAATAGAAAATAATTTTTTAAAGCTCATTCAATTTGCTTTTTATTCGTTTTTCAAAGCCCATTTGAATAAATAGAAAATAATAAACTGAGGTATGAACTTTTTAAAAAATAATTTATGTAATGTAATCTTATTAGAGATATATTGGTGCTGATTTATAAACGAACTTTTTAATTTATGCATTTTTTCAATAACAGATTGCACTATACATTACGACATGGCAGGGTTTATAAACTATGGCTCGGGGGGATATATCACTATTTTTATGTATTTGCTACACGTAAGGTCACACACTTGCCCAACAGTTTTATGACACATGATACCTCCTAAATAATAATAAAAAAATTGCTAATTTAAAACTTTTCATCTCTGTAAACCCCATAAAAAATCAACAAAAATAATCATGCAAATCAATAAAAATATTATTCCTACGTATTGCATGTGCCTTACTAAGAGACAAGGGGCAGAGACAGACCAGAACACCCCCTTTCCCCCCGGGGGTCAGCAGCTAGATCCAGACCCAGCCACAGCCTCCCAGGTGTTGGGGGGGCTGAGATGCTCCGGCTTTGCCCAGAGAATCCTGCGAGTAAATAGGGCTCTCCTGCGAGTAAATAGGGCTCTCCTGCGAGTAAATAGGGTTCTCCTGCGGGTTCGCCTCTCTCTGCAGCCGGGCAGAGCAGGGATGCTCGGGCAGAGCCAGCCCTGCTCCCCGGGGCTGCGGGCCTCGCTCCCCGGGCTGCGGGCCCCGATCCGGGCTGAGGGCGGCCCGGGCTGAGGGGTTCGGGGTGCCCGGTGCCGATGGAGCAGCTGGGTGCCTGCTGCTGCCATCCCGGGCACAGGGGGAAGAGAGGGAGGGACAGACAGACAGAGGCACGACACAGGCACAGGCCAGACATTCACACACATGACATTCCTCATCTCTGTCAAGGACAGAGAGAATATAAAATCGGAATATAAAGTCTAATCAATTAACATGTTTATTTCTGTTGGGGAGAAAAGCCAAAACAGCAACGCCAAAACAACAACAAAAAAGGGAGATTTTCCTGGCAGCGTTCTCTTGAGGATACTCATGAGTTAAATAGCACTACTCTTCGGTAGTAGCCATGTAAGCGAAACCGTATGCCAGAAGATGATTCTGAAACTCAGAGTGAGGTCAGACAAGAAATAACGCCAGGAAATCACCAGAATGAAGGAGAAGAAAAACCCCGAAGTTTTCAGAAGCTGAGTGAGGACAGGTTTCTCGTTTCTAGTGAGGAAAACTGAGTAAAACCCGTGAAAAAAATCCGGGCAGAATCGTGTGTCGGCATCCTCCAGGATTATTTCCTCTTTTAAAATTTCTTTTTAAATAAAATAAATTAAATAAAACTGGCCCAGAGTGATTGCGCCCCCGCCCCGTAATTTACCAGTGCTTGAAAATGACTGGTCAAAATGTCAAGAACAGTTTCACCAAAAGGTTAGAGTGTTTTTTAAGTCAGTTTTGTTAAATGTGGTAAAGGTGAAACAGGTTGCAAAGAGTTGTTTCAAGCAGAATGACAATAACCAACATACGAAGCAGAAAAACACTCATAAATGAGGGCTCCAATCAATGGGAAAACTTATAGCTCCCTAATGAAGTTTCTTGTGAAAAGGAGGGCGACACAAAGCCACCGAGACATGAATCATTCATGGGAAATATAAAAGATAAAAGATATCTGACAATGAGCAGAACCTTGTATAGAGTGTCTAAAACAAGTTTCCCCTTCTTATTTTCTGCTTCCCCCCCCTCCAACCTCCCTCTCCTAGTGTTCCCTGCCCGCCCTATAGAGTTAACATTGACCAGTGCACGTCCTGCCCCACTTCAAAGTAATTTAGCCCAGAACGGAAGGCTTGGCGCTTGGACAATCTTCATGGTGTGTTAGGATTTCTATGGCAATTGGCAAGCAAGACGTTCCCATCTGAATATGGCTCAAAGAAAGCCACTTATTGACACCGAGTTGGCCATCATCAAAGACTTCATCTTTTCCTAGGCGAAACGTGGTCCTAGCAAACACTGTTTAAATCATCTACCTTTGTAGTCGCGGCTGGGAGACATCTCGCCACACACTATTGCTGGCGCTCGGCCCTTTAAAGGCGACAGCGGCGGTAGCGAAGTTTGAAGGGACTAAGAAATTTCGGGAGTGTGGGAAATGGCATTGCGGGGAGGGGGGCTGTGGATAGGGATAAGCGGGGAGCTCTCGGGGCTGCGCCCCCCGCCGCCCCCGCCACGGGCAGGGTGTGGGACGCGGCGCAGCCGGGATAGGCCGCTGCTTTGTTTTTCAAAGCACGGGTGGCGGGGAGAACCGAGGATTTTCAGGGGTTTTCCCCGCGTGTTTCGTGCTTCTGGAGATGTCGCCAGGGAGTTGCGGAGCGCTGGCGAGGCTGGACCGTCACACGCTTCCCCCCCTCCCCCCGCCCCTTCCCCCGCCGTCACCCCGGAAAAATATTCCCAGGTGGAGCGGGGCAGGACGGGGCGGGAGCGTGCGGGAGCCGCGCTCCCATCGCACGCCGGCACACACGCTGCCCCCGGCCCGACACCCGAACGCCGGCGGGGCGCTGCCGCCGCTCCCCCCGCATCCCGCGCAGCCCCGGCACACACAACCACGCTCCCGCATTCACACACACACCACGCAAGTGCCTAATCAGGCAGGGAGAAGTTCAAAGGCAGGTTCTTTGAAATTCAAACTACTGCTTTTATGGTACATCAACATGGAGCGTTAGGATTGCTATGGCAATGAGCGCAGCAAAAGCAAGCTGCATTTAAAATAGTCCACCTCGATTCGAGACACTCTATTAAGATACAGTTGCATTGACCTTTAGTTTCATGCCGTGTTAGCGCAGTCAATTTTCACTTCATCAGAACGTCTCATATTTTTTGGCCTCTCTCCCAACGACCCTCCCCCTCCACTTTTTTTTTAAGACCCCCCCCCCCCCAACTTCAGCAGATAAACAAATAAGTGGGGAAGAAGCTCCATCTCCAGCTCTCCTCGTCTTCTGCCTCCCTCTTTTTTTTCCCCCACCTAAGTACTTTTATTTGCAGAGCGATTGTTCTTTGTTTATTTAATACAAGTACTGTGTGAATGGTGAAAAATAAACACGATGAAAAATAACCAAACAGATGATTCCGCCAAGTGAAAAAGCCCGGACTTAATAAAAGTGCGAAGCAGTCACCGTTGAATGAGAAATCCTTTGAAGTGGAACTTATTATAGGAAGAATACTTTTTGGTTTCCCTAACGACGCTGCTGAATTGAAAGGGCTCGCCT